CACATCACAGCTGCGCCACATTACACCGCATTACGCTGCAAATCTTCATATGGATGCTTTACAACCCGTTGTCCAGGCACTTTTAACTGCTGGTTTTGGATTTTGCCTTGGCTGGTATTTTCGTAAAGGAAGCCTTGTTCGCAAAGCGCTACCCATATCTCGTCGATTTGTGAAGGGCCCCTTTAAGCTTGTTCTTGTCGTAAGAGGTGATCTTGGAATGACGAAAGGAAAGGTGGCAGCCCAGGTATTGTGTCCTTAAATTTCATATTTCCAGTGCTCACATGCAACGTTAGGCTGTTATAAGAATGCTTTAAAAGCATGTCCAGAGGTAGTAAAAGCTTGGGAAAAATGTGGTCAAATGAAAGTTGTTTTAAAGGCACTTGACTATGAATCATTGTAACTTTGGGTTTCTCCTTACTCACATTTAGAGAAGAACTTGAGCTTTCCGCAGAAAAAGAAGGTCTGCCACACTGTCTTGTTCACGACGCAGGACACACTCAGGTTCCTGCGGGATCTGCAACTGTTCTCGGAATCGGTCCAGGTTTGCCTACACACGAATTGCTAACCATTACTTTTTAGCTGAAGTCGATCGTATCAATGTGATAACCGGCCATCTTAAACTCTACTAGATGTATTTGGACTTCTATCGTATAAATGTTTACTTCTAATTTTGTTGTTGTAAACCTGTGGGCTGGTCGTTCTTTTATTCTTGTGGTGATAATCGTTTTTTACACGAATTGCATCCATGAAATTTGCTCATAACCCATCGATTTCTTGCACCGTAGACTAAACTGAGCCGTAACAGATGGGTGTTTGTCGTCGAATCTGGATTTTGTTCTTCTTTTTGGTTTTGCAGTTTTTTGTTCCTCCTTTGCTTGAGATTGTCGCTCTGAGTATGAATTTTAGCCATATTGCGTGCAGCTTATGATTTGTTTCTATTTGAGCTGAGGTTATTACTGTGTGCGCTCACTCGTTTCTGAATAATAATAATAAACAACAAATGCCCTCCCATTGTGCTGATCCTACTTCGAATCACTTGTATCCCAATCAAAAGATCGGTGTTCTTGTCACGCGTGACCTTGATAAACGTTTTTAATGCTTATTCCTGATTAATCCAGTCTAGTTCGCATGCTATGCCCATGGGTCTATCATCTTTTGGGGGGTTCTCGTGTCTTTTAGTAGGCTAGTTCATTACGTTTGAGTTGCCAGCTGTGGAGACTCGTCTACTTGTTGCGCTACCAGTTGATATGGCAACGTGATCTCTACTATAATTACTAAGGTAGATACATGCTCTTGAGACTGAACATGCACATCGGTAAAGGTGGTTAAGCCTATTTATGTCAAAACATTCTGTGCCTGCAATTGGAGTGCGCGTGCTTCCTCTGTCCAACGTGCCCGAACTCGTGTGAGGTATGTGTTTGGTCACTAGCAAAACACTAGTTTTCTACTTGGTATAAGGCTACGACTTAGCTGTAATAGAATTTACCAGTCTTTAGTTCGGCATGTCCTTGAGTGTGGGGTGGATTTATCTTAATAACGGAGCAATGTTTGCGGATCCCATCAAATCTGGCAGTCACAGTCAGAGCGTTACCATGGCAGAAATATCAACCTCCGTGAAAAGATGAGTTTAGGCACTTCTGCTGGCTCTTCCCTCAAATTTGGTTGGGCTATTCGTGTGAAAGCTGTTCTCATTTGACCTTCGGCACCGTAAGTCGTCATTCGTCAGTTTAACGAGCTGCTCGATATTGTTCTGTCCAATCAGATCTATAGGTCTGAATCTAGCCAACCTCAAAATACAAGTCTGGGCTAAATGGTGTTGTTTTTTACGTCGACGAAACGAGATATCAGTGCTCCTAGGCTTTTATCGTTCCTGTCATCCAGTCATTTCGTTGGCGAAATAATTAAATAGGAATAAACCCTCAACAACTCAAACAACTTGAGGAAGATGGCTAATTCGAACGATAAACAGCAGCTTGTGATGAGAATTTAGGCTATCAAATCATAACTTTCTATTCTAAACGAAGATGAAGGCCATGGCTTCTGTCTAAACGACCTTGGATCAATGCAGATGTGCTGAATCTGCATCTGTGGGCAGTCAACCACGTTGTCACCAGCTATCAAATGGGAAATAGGCTACGTCTGATGCATTTCTCACACGCATTATTTACGACCACCTGTCATCCCTCAGAACTAGCTGGAAATCGTCTAAAGGACATCTGGCTAACCGCCGTCCGACCCACGAATTTGCCTCAGCATCTGGTCAAAGTGTGACAGGAAGCTGGGTATGCAATTTCGTGTTCTGATTAATTGAAAGCGTTTGACGTCATGGCGGTGACTTGTGGTATGGCCATTGTAAACATCCATGTGGCCGAGTTCAGCGAAAGTTTGGTGACTGCGCCCAGAACGCCCAGAAACTCATGTCTGAGGGTAACCTAGTGAGTGTTATCAGTGTTAACATTGATCTCGCGATTCGAGGCGTCACGTTTTGGCTAAACGTGTTTCCACACCTGTTGGTCCCACACAGTTCCCGTGTTGGTACTGTTACCAAGCAAACCTCAATTCACTCTGATTCATCCAAGAGGGTGGGCGTCTCGTCGTGATTATCCTGCTTAATATCAACCATCCGACTACATGGCATTAAAAATAACTCTTCAGACGCAATAGTCGTCTTGGAAAAATCGATTGTCGGTGTTGCGTTAAGAAGGACTGATTGTGTGCTTCATTTATTAGATTACTCATCTCTCTTAATGAGGATTGTCTCACCTTTTGCTGAATGTGCCGTGAGGTTCAGCAGCTCGATTTCCAAAACCGATGATTACCTATTGAAATTAATTAGCCCGCGTTGGCGACCATCCAATTATTCCCCAGCAGAATACTTCGTAGTGATTTTGGCTGACCAATCCGAATTGAGCTAGTTGCAGCGCTTCGCGAACAAAAATCAATACATCAGAGGTTGCCTAAGTTCTGACGGTTTGTGGGAATGTTTACGTCGGAAAACATTCGAGTTTCATCAGTTTCATGTGTGGATATTAAATAAATAATTTACCATGAAAATAGAGGTCAGAACTCAGACACCTTGTCAGCCCAACATTTGGCTTTTATTTTAAACATTTAAGATCTTGGTTATTCGTGTTCTGATCGTCAAAAAATGCGATATATTTGAGAGAATTTGTACAAAAACATAGTTGACAAATACGAAATTGAATCTGTCGTGAGTCCCATCGTCTTGAGCAGCCAATTTCTAAACTGATTTTACCAAATTTGCAGATTTTGAAGGCAGGAATTACGCCAAGACGTACTCTGCATTTTCGTCCACTAACCGTGGCCTTACAGTTCATTTCCTTCACTTGGAAACGATTATTTGTGTCACAGGTCTAAACCTTCAGATAGCGTAATCGTGACCTTAACGACAGTATAAGTCGAAAAAACAAAACTCTAATCATTATTTAACACCATGTTAGTTATGAAATAGTTTGAAGGGAGTCTAGAAGATCGTAATCAACAGTTATCGTCGATCAGGTCATTGACTTCTTCATGGATGATTTTAGCGGCCTTGAGGACATCGGTGAAAGAAGTGTAGAGTGCGAATGGCGCCACCCGCACGTAACAAGGCTTGCGGGTATCACACACGACTCCACGATCGATCAGTCGTCGATACAACTTATCGACATCGACATTGATTTTCAGGGAGAGCTGAGATCCACGCGAGTCTGGGTCTGCCGGAGTAATTATCTCCAGCGAATCCGGAGGCAAAGCATACGGACCGTTAGTAAGTAGATTTTCGAGAAAATTGGTCAGCTTTATTGATTTTTCACGGATGGGTTTCATTCCGCCCGCCTCCGCAAATACCTCTAGCGCGGATGTAAGAGCTGAGTTCAGCAGCATGGAAGGACACGAGCGGCGATAGGCGTCGGCGCCTGCCTCAGTTTCCATCTTGTTGGTCATCTGGAAGCGTGTAGAATAGCGATGGCCCCACCACCCGCTCATACTAGGCCCGTAGGCGTGTTTGTCTGTTGGCACATGGGACCCAGCCTTCAAGTGGTGTTTCTCGTGGACGAATATTGCGGAGTAACCTCCTGGACTGCCGCAAAGGTACTTGTAGCCACACCACGTGGCACAATCCACCTTCCAGTCGTGCAGACTCAGAGGGACATTACCAACAGCGTGCGCCAGATCCCATCCAATCGGGCAGTCGCAGTACTCGTGCACTGCTGCAGTAATCCTGCGGATGTCCAACATTTGACCTGTTAAGTACTGCACTCCTGGAAGCCAGACAAAGGCAAGCACTTCACCGTGACGTTTGATCTCCTCCACGATTTCTTCCGTTGACAGGTACTTCCCATTGGGTCGAAGATCGAGCTCGATAAGGGCAGACTTGTCGACACCCTTCACGTAGAGCTGTGATTCAATGGCGTAATAGTCAGATGGAAAAGAGTTCTTCTCAATGAGGATTCGAGATTTCTTGCCCTTTGGTACAAAGAAGGACGAGACGAGAGTATGAATGTTGGCGGTGAGGCTCTCCATGACTGCAACCTCTTCAAATTTTGCGCCAACTAGGAACTCGGCAAGAAGTTGCTTTGGCCGAATGTCCGAAATCTCTGTGGGGGAGATGCCCTTTGTGTGACTCAGCACCCCTAAGCTGCCCCATGCATCTAACACCTTGGCTAGGTTCTCACCGGTGGCTTTGGGTGGAAGTCCGAGGGAATTTGTGCAGAGATAAATAACGCCGGAGTCAATGTCTCCGTTGTTAGCTTCCTCTGTGTGACCGTTTGTTTCTCCGACTGGACCCTTCAACGCCTTCAAGGTAGGCAGGATAAACCTCTGACGAAACTCTTTTAACGGATCGCTTCCATCCAAAGCACTGGCGAGGGCTTCAAGGCTTTCCATTACTTGCACCACCAGGCCGACTGATTGTCGTGGACGGTGTGTCGAGCCGTGTGCATGCACGTGTGCACCACATTCGGGCAGCCAATGAAAGCACGCGGTATTGCTTGTGTGATTGACACGGCGTTTCATTGGCCGGTGTGGCAGTCAGATGGCATTTGAGCAGTTTCAAAATTCAAACACCCTTAGTGGACGGATTTCATCACGTCGGGGTCACCAAATTCAGTGGCTTGGTTTTAGCACTACCTTACAACCCCCTAATTAACAGCCCGAAACAACCCGAGGAGAGGGGTAAAGAAGGAGACAGATAACACGACCGTTTATTAGTGTCAAACCAACCAAGTGGCTTTGTGTGCGTAAGAGTACGAGTACGTAACAGGCGAATGCTGACAGAGGCCAATAACAAAAGGGGTGAGGCAATGATCCACTCGGGACCTCATGCACGCATCACTTACGCGAAGTGGTTGTCAGTTCACTACATACTGATAAGTTGAACTTTTTTGTTGGTAAATCCAAAAGGGGTTTGAGCTATCTTTAAACAAACAATCAGTAACTTCATTCAATTTCGTCCATTTAACAAAGTCTGGATTCCTGTCATGTTTGAGGCAACAACAATGGTTCTTTTTGGTAAAGCCTTATTCACACCCAAGATGTTAGCATTAAGAAATACAAGGTATTGTAAAAACTCATACTTTACAAGGTGTTTTTGCTGTTACTCCAGGCAGTCCACATTTAAACTTTTGGACTTTGTTATCGAGAGAACAATACTTTAGTTCTACTTAACTCAAACTCTGAGGCGACAAAATATGTAACTAAATTCAGCTCCGGAAAATCGTATCTGATTAATAAGATGCAAGAGTGTATGCTGATTTATCATCAGGTGGTGTTGTGGGAAGCATCACTGATTTATAATCTTGTTGACAGCTTTAAATAAAATGCAATCCATGTTGAAATTCATCGTCCAATAATAAAATGTGGATGTATTTCCCAGTCAAAACATTTACTGACATATTGTTCTGTAGGTAATTACGATAATTTCTCGGTAGAAAGGAAAGTAATATTCGTTTTCATCGTAGCAAATGGCCTAGACCCTAGGTGCACTCACAGGCAGACCTTGGGAATTTTCTGCGTCCTCGAATTTTACGGTTAATATTTAAGAAACACCAGGTATTTTTTTAATATTTTGACTATTTTAGTTTTCAGAACAAAACATAAGATGCTTTCGGCGTAATTAGGCTTTCAGTGTTCATCCACAAAAAAAATCGAACAAAGTAAACCACGCGCTACTGGTTATTTTGATTCTGGTAAACGATTCAAGTCCTCCAAAACCTTGGGGAAAATGTGTTGTTGTTTTTCTTATCGACATCATTCATCTTCGGTTATAGGATCAATAGCAATTAAGTTAGATTTGATTTTCACAAGATATATGAATTAACTCAACATGCATCTGATTTGTATGTTATCTACCTCATGAATCAAAAAGTGACTATGTGGATTAATAGTATTTGTGTGGTGTCCTTAGTACATTGCAGTTTATTTTTCATATTTAAATAAGATGCTAAATTAGTTATCCAATATGAGTAGATAATTTGGGGGATTAATGTGACCATTAATATCCAAATAAATTATTAGTGTTAATAAATCACTGAATTTTCTGTTACATGTATTACAAAGATATTTCAAAGGCCTTCGGGTTCGCTCGCTCTAACGATATACATTTTTTTTGAAAGTAAGAGTTTCTTGTTTGAACGGATATTCATCCTCTTTTCTTTATGAAGGCTGCTTGTTTTTAATGCACTAGTGCCAATATCACGCCACAACCATTTTCTATCCTGTCAGGAGCATAGCAGTGGTGAATTGGCAGCTTGTATATAATGAGAGAATAGGTAATGGGTGAAGACGACGGCTAAGATTGCCCTAACTTCGGTTATGAAAATTTATCTGTTTATTGCACCTGACTAATTTTAGTAAGGACTGTAGTTTACTAGAGAACAATTAAAAATTTTGAAGATGTAACAGGAACTGTAGCAATATGAGATTATTCTGCAACTATGGCCAATTTCGGTAATGTAGGTATTCACAAAAATCGAGGAAATTATAATTCGTAGGAGTTAAGAACAAATCAGACTATAAAAAGGGTTTCTTCTTGAAACAACCGGTAGTAAATTTTTAAGTGCTATTCAATAAAACTTAAGTGATATTTTCGTGTGCCAAATAACATCATTGTGTTGTAAACTTTACTGACATCTGTGGTATAAAGCAGTTATACTAAACGCAAATGTCTTATCAGAGTGAAACGTAACTTGCCTCTAAATTTGGTCGTCTTTTGGCTCTAAGCGACTTGTGTGCTCACTAACAAAGTCGAATGAATTGGATAAATTACCAAACTTTGTGATGGCAATTTGGACATTTGCTTAGTGTGCAGCTCAAGGCCTCGAGAATCTGCCTGCTTAAGTTAGTCATTTAAAAAATACCAATAATATAGAATTTACAAATAACGGTAAAAACATTTTTGTGATAAAACCAAAAAAAATTATAGGACGTTAGCATAATTCTTACACTGAAGTAATTTGTTTTATTCCCCGTACGCGTCCCCGGAATAATCGTAAAGGTCGCTGCCAAAGCTTTGTCTTTGACGTCGACAATTTCCTTGCAAGTTAACAGAGCGTAAGAGGCTTTTTTGAGCTCGTTTGAAGCGATTTTTTCCCTACTTGCATTTTTCATTAAAGCACGGGACTCAATCACACGGTTGCAGTCCTCGCGAAAACGTATAATACATCGAATATCATTACTGCATGTAGTTTTTGCATTGCATTCATTTGCACTATTTATGGATTTGTAATAATCTTTTAATTGCATTGATGTAACAGGTTTGTGAATTTTTGGGATTGTAGGATAGATCAGAGGTCCGCAAAGACAACTTTTTACTTTTGTTTCTGTTAATGATGTGTTGTATAATTGTCAGGCATGCACATGTTTTTTTGTACGGACACGCTATAAGTTGCTAGTCATTATGTTTGTCATTTGGACAGTGCTTTTGAATGTTTTTTTTTCATTGGTTTGTTATTTTACTGTTTGAATGTTTGCGTCATATCTTTATTTACATCCTAATTGATACTGTAAACGTTACCTTTTTTTGCACATTACCAATGTAACGCAATTATACCTAGTCAACTTTAGCGTCACTTTATCGAGTGTATGATTTGTTGTTATTTACATAAGTGCCTGGACATTGTAAACTTTGTAATTTTAGACATAAGTTGCCAAGACTCACTATATTCACAATTTTTTTCTTAGAATAGGATCGGTTTGCCTCCCACCTGGTACTTCATTGCCGCGATTTTACACAGTTATCCCCTAGTTCATAAGTACCATGTTACTTCCTTGTATAGAAATGCACTTTAGCTTGGTTCAAACGCTCAAGATTCATCTGTCGGTTGACCTTCTAGCATTCTTGTTGCCAGTCTAACCTTGACTTTTAGTGCTACTGGCGTATGCGCTTAATTTTCTCCGCGTTATTTTTGATAAGCTTCTTTGTCCTGGTTTTCCGAGTCGTGTAGCCTTTTTTAATCCTTTTTAACTCTATCTGTCACCAAATAGTCGCATGGAAACATCAAATTTAAGTTGCTTGCGAGTTGCCTTGATACTATCTTTTGTCTCTCGGTGTATTTCGTAATCGAATTGTGCTTTGTGTTCTCCCCATGAATCAAATAATTAATTTTTCCATAGCAATAATTTGGCTTCTCACTAAAGACTTATAGTTTCAAGAAAAATGTTTTAATCGTAAATCTCTTTTATTTGGGGCAGAAAAAACATTTAGTATTCTTGCTTGAGGTCTGGAGATTCTGGGGAACAGCCACTTTGTTTTATTTTTTCTTTATTTCTGCTACCATAGTCACGTATCTGTGTTAAATTTCATCATCAAATCGAGCACCTGTCAAACCCATCTCTTTGATTGTTAAACTGCATTAACGCACGCACACACATGCCTAGCCATTATGCTTGGCCAGAGATGTAGCTTTAAGTACCGCCGTGCATAAATATTCGTCGGACGCTTCACGCACGTATACTCTCTCACGCACACACACATGCACAGGCAAGACGTGGCTCATTGGCTGACGCCTAAAAGTAGACCACCAATCCTGGTCTCGCCAACACAATCAGCTGATTTGGCTTGCCACTGCGCATGTTGACAGAGCCCATGCGCACTTACCTGTAATACTTCCTACTGTTGTATCCATTTTTACGTGTACGCACCTTAAGGTGTCCTCTACTACTAGCAACGTGGTATACGGCCTTTTTTCTCCACCTGCTGGCTAACGATCTCTCTAACAACCTCCTCTCTGTCCTGTGTAGGCCCTGCGCGCTTTCGCTCCGCTGATTGGCGCCTATGGAGGCTGTGAAACTCAGTCGCCGTCGAATCTCTAACCTTGACTGTGACGGTTACCGCCAAATGAAACGGCGGGTGAGTTAGTCCACCATCTTTTTCGACGCATTTCGCCCTCTTCACTACTTCCGACATTCTTAGTTAATTGGCATAGCAAACCCTTGAATCATGTGATTATAAACGTGGGGTCTCTTGTCTTTCGTCGTAGTTTAAAACTCATCCCGCCTTTATCCTAGAAGTAGCCTGCTTCATCTAAACTACCTTTAAACATTCGAATCGTCACCTCTTCAAAACTTCTTTCCCACGCCTTATTTCTTGCACAAAATTTGCGCAGTGGTTGAAATTGATAAAATCCTCGCTTACCGCTTTTACCCGCATCATTTCTGGAAATGCGTTAACCCTATTTAGGTGTGTTTATATATCCTTCACCTCACATCAAACGGAGTCCTTTTAAGTTAATTGGTACCATCAAGTCTGTTATGTGAAGTTCAAATGCGTTCTCGTGAAATCAATACATCAAAACAACTAATACATTAATATTTGAAGTGCAACCAAATCGCCACGGGGTTTCGTTCACCTGTCCCTGTTCTCCTTGTTCTGCATTTTTTCCCGTTCTCTCTGACCCGGCTCTGCCAATGAGGCTGGTAGTTTGGATATGCCGTTTACCCCCTATCCACGAATTCAAAAGACGATGTACTTTGTCTGTTGTTATTGTTGTTCTCATGAATCGCCTCTTATTATCACTGTTTTTGTCGCAAGAATGCGAAATCGTGATGTCATTTCTCTTTTCCCTAGTTGATAAAGTTAGCTCTCGAAGACCAGTAATATATTTGGGTTTTAAGCAGACTTCTTGTTCAACTCCTTGTCACGCTGCCTCGCTTTCGACGCCCCCTTCTTGTTCCATGTCGTTGCCTTTAGTGAAGTTAGGCGTTTTCTTTCACCACGGCGACTTGTCGTTTTTTTTTTTTTACAACAACCATCATCACGGCAGCCTTGTAACATTTGACCTGTATCGGCGAATCTAACTGCCTTTCGATAGCGTAATCACGCTCAAAGCCTATCACCTTTGTTAGCTGGCTCTTTTGTGCGTTCGTGCCTTTGATGCGATTTCTCACGCCGACTTGTCAATTCTGCTAATCGACGTTATTATTCTCGGACGACCCTTCACGGGAATTTACCTTACGAATACGCCCTACTTGCTTGTCCAATTTTGACCGTCGTTTTGTGTACCTTGATAGCCGCTTAGCGCATGCCTCATCCCTCGAATTCAACAGAACCGGACGTAAAGGTGTGCGGCCTATAACCTCTTAGAGTCTACCTAATTGTCGATGCCATGGTAACTGAGGGCGGACAGGCGGGGTGTGTGTGTGTGTGATCTCTCACGGTGACCTCATTTTGCCGTCTCGTGGGGCCGCGGGAACCAATCACTTTCCTCCTTGCCCCCTCCTTCATCCTCTGATCGTCTCTTCTGACACCCCTGTTCAATCTTCAGGTGATGACTCATGTCTAGAGGCTCTAGTTTCCTGTAATTTAGCCACATGCTGCCAATCTCTGGTTGTCGTTCCTGTCGCCAGTCACGAGAGAGCCTAGACGTATTCCCCAGCTTCCCTAATCGATTGAAGGCCGGCGGTAGCTTCAATGAAGTACCCTTGACTAGGAGTTTATCAACTAAGCGCGCTTGCTACCTTCAACTCGTAAAATTCAGAGTAGACGCACAGCATATCGTAATCACTTTTATTATGAATGCTAGCGGTGATTGTGTGAGGTAGACCAGAGACGCAGTTTAACGACCTCTGTCATTTGTGCATGCATGCATGCCTGCATGCGTGTGTGTGTGTTTTCATGTGCCACCGTAACATGTTGGCGCAATTTAAGGCCGAACATAGAATCACCATGCTTGGTAGTGCATTACACAAATCTGCCACGTAGAGGCGTGCTGGGGGGAGGGTTACGTCTGTCTCGATTACCCCTTTCCTCTCTCTCTCTCTCTCCTGACTCGAATTGAAATGCGCGGTGATTGTGTTGCGATTTTTGTTTAAATTCCGTCAATTTGTTGGCGGTCTGCAAAGTACGTGAGCGGTCCACAAGGTGCTGGTGGTGGTGGCTGTGTCGGCGGTTCTTCTAACAAAACACCCAGGTAGCTGGTGATCGATAAGGTGGAAGTCTTGTTGATTAGCTTTGTGTATGTGTGATTTCTCTTGTGCCACTGTAGTAAGTTCCAATCTCGCCTGAACGACGGTGTGCCAAACCTAATTTTATGAAGTGTCATGTGAATCGAGCGTTAAAACATTGTTCTACGCAAAAGTGCACATTTATCTCTAGTGATTTATTTTTGTTGTTTTCCGAATAGAAAAAGCACTAAACAATAAGCAACACGTAGGTCGTAGGGCGGGGGGGGGGATGGAGGAAGGGGGTAGGGCCTGTCCGAACTCACAGTCATTCTAGCCTCCACTTTGAAACAAAATCCAGTGACACTGGGATGATGGGGGCTACCATTACCGATGAAGCTTACCCTCTGGACGCCAACGCGTGGCCTGGAGGATTGGAATGGAATCGTAAACAGCGTTGGCACTGGCGCTAAGCGAGTTTGGTTCACCGGTACACTCAAACCACTGACTAAGCGCCTAAGTGACTGTTTAAGTGTGTGTTAAGGCACAATTTGTGGCATCCGTGGTGGTTTGTTGTGCTTTGCCAGTCGAAAATTGAATTAAACGTGCTTGTGCTGCTGCTGCTGCTGCTGTGAGTTGAGCATCGATGGAGTTAATTTGAGTCGAAGCGGACTCGATGACACACTTGTAAGGTTTTGTTTAATGAGTAAAATGAGGTGTATTGTGTAGTAACTAGGATCTTTTTCGTAGTGCAAGCAGGTAAGGAATCCACGTAAAGTTTAGTGTGGAATAGTAAGTCATGCGGCTTGCTGTTTCATCCATCATTTCAGCAAGTAATTACCAACTCAGTCTGTTTTCAATTTTCCCCGTAAATCCATCATGGTTGTCTTTGCTTCGAGGCATCCGGCAAACTCACCCAAAACAACTATGTAAACAAATGAGTGCAAAGAAGAAAAGTCGAATTGAAGCATTCGAGAACGCAAACATGTGATTCGATTTGAACGTCTTACGTTGTCTTTAGCACGGTCACGGCTCATCAGTAAGAATCAGAATTCAGAACAACAGATAAGTCACTAGCAGAATGTAAATGCTACGGTTGATTTCTTTAGTAAATTGGATTTTGAATTTCGGAGGTCAACGCAATGTCGGAGGTGTTGGAGTGTTCGCTGCTGAGAGAGCGTGGAAGAGGCTGTGTGTTGGTAATAGCAAGTACTTTTTTCTGCGCCTGGTTCGTTCAGGACCTGCACACCAGTTGATGTGGGCCCGAACGGGGTCGAATTTTGCCTTGCAATTTCCACCAGCACCCGCATTTACTGGTTTGTTGTCGTGTTTAAAAAGATGCACTCCTTGTTCTCTCGCCACACTTTGACCATCCAGCAAGTGGAAGGGGGGTTGGTTATGCCCTATGTCAGTGGACTGACGTGTCCCCCTAAATCCCACTCAGCCCGTTTTGGACTTGCAAAGCGGCTATTCACTCGGTGTGCCTCATCCCTTTTGTGTACACGCAAACAGCGTACAGTAACGCCTATTTTTGGGTGAACAAAATACGTGAATGTGTGTGTGTGTGTGTGGCTGCATCTTCATCTCTGCACCGTTAAGTGATTTGGCGTGAATTCCCCTTCGTGAATTCCGCCTGCCTGTAGATTGGCCCTACACGAATCCAGTGAATCCCATTGGTAGCTACCAGTGTGCCAAGTTTTTAATTAGGCTTTTCGACTCCGTATTGACATTTTAATCACATGTTACCCGAGCTAGGAATCCGATTACTTCCTGTTTAAAGTGTGTGTGTGTGTGTGTGTCTAATTCCCTCGCAATATGAACTTGTTCATCGCTGTGATTATGCGCAATCTCTTTTAAACACACCGAGACGCAAATTTAGTTGGCGGTTTTTTGAATTATGAAAACCGCCAGTACCTAGTGAATGCTGCAGTACAGCGATCGCGTCAAATCTCCTGCGTGCTCAAACGTCTAACACGGGATTGAGTTTGTCGAGCCGTGTCGATAAGCGTACTCACCTGATTGGCCAAGGCTAGCCAATGAGGTAGTGGCAATTTGCAAGGTGATCAGGTGTAAAGCAAGCTGCGACTGAGGGTTTTTCGTCCGAGCAACGTTACTGTGTCGAGGGAAAGGCAACACCTGTGCAGCTCATTCATCCTATTCCTAAAGCTCTCAAATACTACTGAAATGTTTGTGGCCTGAGTCGTTCTTACTCACTTGTTTGTGTTCATACAGGAAATGGCAATCGGCCGTGTGTGGCTTTAAAATTACACCTATTTCTGGCACATATTCACTGGTGAAGGTAGAGTGTTCGTTAGCTAGGTCTCATTCCGTTGCGTTTGCAATCCAACCCCCATATTAGTGTGTTCATCATCGCATGGATATTCACAACACACGTCATGGTGAAGGTCTGCTGACGTTCTTGAAATCGTTGGAGGCATGGACGAGTAAGACTCAATGGCAATTTCTGTTTCATTTAATAAATAAACATGGTCTCACGCTCCTCGTACCGTACCTAGTCTTAGAGACTGATTAAAAAGCGAACAAGTTTTGGAAAGTACCATTTGCGTGCGGTTACGTATGCATTTTTTCAGTTCGGAAAAAATCAAGTGTGCGGACGTGATCACCTGTAGCAAACCTGGTTTTGTGCATCCTCGGCTTATCAGACGTCTCTGAAATGCTGAAAAAGCGCAATAAGACGTGATTGTCTCAACAAAACTGATCAGATCACCCTGGTTGAATTCCCGGTGCCCATACTGTCCCTGAATTGCCGAATTTATGACTTGATCTTTGGATTAGACTTGGTGAAGAGGCAGTCTGCTAAACAAATTCGCGCATATTAATGTTGCAAATCGATGAAATCTGATCCATGATGTGATTTGCCGATGTACCGATTAGCTAAACAAAGTGATGATCTCAAGTTCACCGATGGTGATGGTTGAGCCACTGGTAACATCAGCACGCGATCTGACCGCCGATACAGCTACGTGTCCTGAATCTCGGTTATTATCTCATTGTAAGCGGCGGGTGACCTCGTGTTAACATGAACATTGTCGGCACTAATTGATCTATGCGGCCTTGCAAAACTATTCCAGAATCTTGTGTGTTTCAGTTTAGCCAAAACTGGCATTTTCGTCAGTGTGTTCTTATTTTACTCAGTTATGTCTGTCAGGTAGTTGCCTATTGTGTGATGGTTTTTCCGACGCGGCACGTAGATGCGATCTCGCAGTCGTTGAAGTCGAATCATGGGTTCTTCTAACGGTTTGTGTGATGAGACCTTGGTGCAGGGTGTTGGGACTTGTGGCCACTGGTCAACGCGTCTTTGTCTATCATATCCTCATTCCGCGTGGATCGGTTGGGAGACGAAGTCGCCGTATGATCGGCAATTTAGCAAGAATGTGTCAGCATTTCATTGACCACTGCGGTGTTCCATGAAAAGGCATCCAGGTGTGTGTCTGGGAGTTGCGACGCTCTGGACACAAATCAGTGATTGATGCATTTTTCTGTACACTTGCCTCGTCCCTTTCACCCATCCCTTGAATGCATCCAGATCTTGAGCACGTTGAAGACAAAGCAAGCCGGTCGATTCGTCGAGGCAGTTGGTGGTGGCGTTGCCTGAGATTAGTGAGCAGGGCAAATTGTCCTGCAGGTAAACGCGCACGTGCGTGCGTGCCTGCGAGCGAGCGAGCGCAGAAGCAGGCGTTGGTGTGTGTGGGAGAATAATCCTGTGCAAAGACGGAGACACACGGCATGAAGTGTCGTGCTGTGTGTGTGTGTGTGTTCGGAGGAAGCAGCAGTCGCAGCAACCACACGTGCGCCGTCGTGTTCTGTGATCGATGCTGCTGCTGTCGGTGGTGGTGGTGGTTGGACGACTGGATGTGTTCGCGTGGGTGAGTCGGCGGGTGGGTGGTCAGCGTTGGCGATTAACCAGAAGTTGAAATATCTTCCCAACTCGAACCCTACCCTTGGAAATCCTCCTCCCTAGTCATTCACCCGCTCAATCGTGGTGCCTCTTGAACCTCTTTCGACACGACGTAGCTAGTTTGGTGTGGCATCTTCCTTTAAGGCTGGACCCATTATACAGACGTCGATTGTGGCGTGCTTATGTTGCTCCTCAACGCGTTCCGGTGTAGTCACTACTTTCTCCTGATTCACAGATCCTAGTTCCAAAATTAGCTCCACCAAATGAAATCACCAACTATCTTGTGTATTCATTTGGATGGGTGTCAGGTGTGTTGTGTTGGATTTTTCGTTAAGCATTAAGCCGACAATACCTACTACAAGAGGCGGCCATGTCTTCTATGAAAATCGATGATGCGACTCGTGTACCGTAGTAACCGCGCAAGCAAGCGGTTTCCATCTAAATTACGAGACGACGGAACCATGACTTAGAACATAAATCTCATCTGCTTGTCAACATCACATTAAAGTCAACCGTTCATCTTTCAACAAGTATGCATAGTTCTGCACCGTGTTGTGCACCTCGTCTTTTATTACAATAATTACCGCTCACACTATTGTTCTTCTCAGGTAGGCGGCCACAGCTTGTTATCGGAACTCCTGTATCTACAACTTAAAGTCAACTTCGGACCGAAAATTTTTTTTATGCAAGCCTATTCCTGTCATTTTTAAAAACACGCAACGTTTACTAGTGATTTTTGACGCGGTAGGATAAAAAAGCGAGAAGGTGGTATAAAAAGATGCAGCGACGGGATTTGAACACAACCCACATCCGCAAGCATCGCCTGCTAATCTACACTCATTCGAGCTGACCAATCACTGTCTACTTCCTTCTAGCCTATTCCTGATTGGTTAACATGGGATCAGCATCAACATTGATATCAGTCAAACTCCTTGTCAAAGTCAATGGGTCTTCCGTGTTGTGATCTGTTTCAAAACTGCAAACGGTCATTGGAAATTGATCCTGATAGGCTCTGCTGCGTCGGTGTTCGGTGGTAGTGCTTTACACTACCCATAACTTTACTTATCGATCCTAGCCAATGGGGTGACGATCTTGAGATCCCATCATTGTCCTCCTGATTATAGTCACTTTTCGAAGTGCTTCAAGCAATGAAACTTCATGTTGGTGCCCTAGCGTCGAAGGTGGTCTTTGAAGTCGATGTCAAGTAATGCGCTGATACTGTGGTGTAATAATTTGTGTGTGCGTAATCACCAGCCGAAATGGTTCACAACAGTTGTTAGATTTGTACGGAGAAAAAGTCCTTTTGTCCACCTTCAATGGCCCTATCTTTAGTGCAGTTGTTTAAAACGATAATTTTTCGAAATAATTCCTTTTCGGTCGAAATTCATGTCTAAAAATGCACACGTAGATGCCGTCATGCTGGGAGTTGGTGTTGCATTGGTCGTACACATCGACTCCACATCATGCTCCGGTGCCCCTCTGTGTAACCCGCAATCTGATTGGTCACAATTATGTCAGTGCTTATTGGTTGGCTGCTTTGATGGGCACGGGGGTATCTGAAGTCGCGGAAGCGAAGTGAATTTCCTAGTCTGACTGTATCCATACAAGTGATAAATTGGTTCTGGCACATGCACCTTCACCAACATTGAGCAAACCTCCATCAGTGCTCACTGCCATTGGTCGACATCACGTGTCGGCTTACTATTGGGTGAAACCTTGAAATCTTCGGGCGGGGATTTGTGTGAATGCAGTCATTGTCGGCAGTGTGCGCGGACCTGCAAGCTATCCACGAGCGTCATGTTATGCTCGCATCGCTTCGATTCAATTGATGAACCCAGGATCACGGTGGTTGCGAAATTATACCACACGTCTAGCCAGACCGTTAAATCTCACGTCCGTCGATGTCGCTGGCGTGCTGCTCTCGCTGCATCCTCTAGCCCTCAATTCTCCCACCGTCAGCACAAGCACGCGCATGGTGATGCGCTCTCGCTAATTGGACAGTGAAAATGCACTGCTTATTCATTATCTTCTTCGTTTTCTCTGCTCGGTTTGCTCTCTTTCTCTCTGTCCCAGTGACTAATCCGTGCTGCGTCCACGCGCTGTACCTCCTGACTGCGTGTTCTTGCTCGCGTGCATGCATGCGTGCGTGCATGCGTGTGTCCTTCCGGTTGGCCTCGTTTTCACTCACTGACTTGCGGCTGCCGCTACCGGTGCCGCCGCCACCACCATTTTAGTAGTATAACTTGAATAACTCCACGCGTCGCAGGTGAGTAGTGGGCTGAACGAAGGAGGGGATAGCAGCTGGAGTCGAAGGCTGTATCGTAGACACCCGCACCACCAACACCAGACCTGTTGCTAGCCTTCTCACCGCCTCACTCACACACACTGCATGACTAATGTGTGTCCGCGCGCGATAGCCAGTCGGCAGCCGAGCACGACGGATTAACCACACGCTTCGTCGGTGCTGAGGCTTCTGTTCTGCCACGCAAGCGGCGTGTGTGCGTGTGGTGGGTCACCGCCCATGTTATCGGTGTCTGGACTGTGGTCGCGCCCCTGGCGACTTCGTGGGCTCCTTCCAGGTGTGTGTGTGTGTGTGTGGTTGTGCAAGCGCAGCGGTGATTCACGGTAGCCGTCGTTTTCGGCGTTCTACAAGCGCTAACACCGGCTTTTAACTCTGACCTGCCTGTCCTGACGCAAATTGCGGTTCTCGTGTGTTACCGCCAAATCCATTTCCGGTTGCAAAGCCTCCGCATTAGTCTTGTTGGCACCGTGATTTCACAAAAGACGCCGGCTTGGATAGGTGGGCCCTCGAAAATGTTAGACGGTTTTTCCGTGGAGCATTTATCGCTTTATTAGTTTACGTGCAAACACGCATTTGCACACACACACTGACACGTATGCACCTTTTGTGAACTGTGAACTAATCACCAGTAGATTCACCTACAATCATGTCGCTTTTGCACACTCGAAGTGGAATGCTTGAGGCCAGATGACGTGGTGAAGCGATGTCGATGATTTTTCCCACACCCACTCTCCTCTCGCCCTTCCGCATTTTGTCTTGGAATCGGCGTTATTTTGCGACTCTAGAATCGCGCCAATTAGCGTCGATCGGTTGCCAAAAGTGCTTTCGATTAAGAACCGGTTTTCGCGTATCCGTGTGCTGCAGTAGAGGCGATGTGTTTGTCGTTGACCGGATTTTAAGGTCGTGGAATAAGTACTTGTAGGAATCACAAGAGGCGTTGGCTCACGAATCACCACTTGTTTGGGGAAAAGGGCCCTCTATGCAGTCTCCAAACAGGAGTTGTGGCGTCGTTGTCGTGCAGACACGATCGAAGTTGTTCCTCGTTACTGTGGTTATAGCCATCGCCCCTACATCTGTCAAGGTCATGGTGGAAAGTGGTGACTATCACTGCGAGCACACACACACGACAAAACAGTGGGCTAAGACAGTGCGAGAGGAAGAGTGTCTATGTGTTTGTGTTGGCTACGTCAGTATGACTGCAGTGTTGGCAAAGATTTTTGGCTGATACACCAGACAGAACACAGCGCGATTCGCGCAGCAGCAATGCACCATCACTGCAAATGGCAAGCTTTGAAACGAGTTGGCAGATTCCGGTCGAGGCATGGCGTCTTGGCCGACCTGACGGTACATGCCCCGCATGTTGCACCATTTGTGCCCATGGCGAATCGGTTGGCTCAAATTATCTGCACCAATCAGATCACGCGAGATTGGGCCCACCGTTTCATCGGCCAGTTGCATTGTCGATGTTTTCAGCCCCTGGAGTCAACATCTCTCTTTTCTCGCTTACATTTCTTGTGCAATTTGTCGGTTTCGTGGATACTTCGACATGGAGAAGCTTAAATAGGCGACTCGTGCTTGACAGGTTACTGTCTCTTTGTTAGATGGTGAACGGAGTTTGCCACCTGGAGGGAGGTGGTGGTGCCTGGCATATGAAAAACATCCTTTCCGACAAGACGTCGCCACCGTCTGCAGCACCAGGTGCTGCCGCTTCGGGCTTTCTCACCGACATGAAGCAGCAGTCACCGGCGAATCAACAGCAGCTGGACTTGAATCCCCATCCTGCGATGAACGGTGCCGAAGGTTACTCCTTCCACCACCATCAACTTCACCACCAGACTGGTCCAGGTGCCAACGCAGGCCATCCTCCCCCACCGCCGCCTCCTCCCCCTCTTCCTCCGCCCCCTCCTCTACTGGAACCTGCTCAGCAATTGCCCACGATGTCACAGCCTGTGCTTCCACCTAGTCTTCGTGAATCCGTAAGCTGCTTTTTTCCACGCTCCTGTGCGATATTCGTTGCATTTTCCTCGCATTCGACGCGAGTACTTAGAGCACATTGCTTTAGATGTGTCGGTTGTTAGTTTGATGTCATCGTTCGACTGCGTGTGCGCAAGGGTTTACTGACATAGAGTTAGATGTGGGGTGTTAGTTGAACGTGTCACGCCAGGAGCCTGTAATGTGAGTTGCACAGTTCGTGGAAGCCGGCGATGCGATGCTGCAGAAGCACTCGTGGGTGGCCTCAATAAAATAGCTTCGTTGAAACTGCGAAGTCGAGCTGAGTAGATGTGTTGTTGGATTTCCCATACCGCTACTGTGTCTTCACACTCAGATCATCGCTTTGTGTGGACGAATGCTCAACTCTCGTTAGATGACTCGCGGTACCGCTGATAGTTGACATGGCGTGCACATTTCCATCCTCTCAACTGTGTCCATTTACACCAGTTAGCTCAGTGGTTTCCGATGTGGCGTTTTCGAAGTTGACAAGCAAAGTGCAACACAAGTAGCTTTCACATGAATATCATGTCAAAAATATGGGGAATTATGCTTGCCTGGGCAGGATATGATATCATTCTTGCATGAAGAGGAATCAGCATGGCTAACCCTTGGATTGTATTGTTAAATGCTGTCACAATGGCAAGAAACTGTACAAAATCGGATGCTTATTTGTGGCTGCAAGTAGTGTGTGTGTTTGTGTGTAAGTTAACGTGGCTGTTGGTTGTGTTGTGGCAGGAACGAATGCAGTCGGTGGAGCGGTGGATCAACAGCATCCCGCTGGACGCCCCGGTCTATGCACAGACGTCGCTCACGCAGCTCGTGCCCATCTCCGACCCCAAGTCCTTCCCCGACGAACTCTCCGTCTCCGACCACACGCCAACCCGTGGCGACGCCAATGTCCCCAGCACTAGTGGCGGTACTGGTGGTGATGGTGGTGAGAACTCCCGAGGTACGCATATTCCCCATCATTCCGTGCGCGTGTGAATGTGTGTATTTGCGTGCGTGTGTCTGGTGTCTTTATGTGTGAATGTGGTGTGTTTTGCTAAGGTGTGTCTAGTGTATGCGGAGTGAGTGTACGTGTGGTGTGTTAAGATGGTTCAAGTATTACTACTTGAGCCTTGCAAACCCGAACTGTCCCAGGTAGTGCGGAATTGCAGCAGCAGCATCACGTGATCACGAAATTGTGTTTGTTTCTCCTTAGCCTGACCGCAGGTGCACTTGTGCCCGTTTGATGGCGCCTGATCGCACGAACATTGTGGGGATTGTTGTGTGAGTGTTTGGGTAGATAGTGTGGTCAGCGGAGGTCAAGTTGAAGTAGGGTTGTGGGATTGGCCAATCACAGTTGACTAAGTTGGTTACGGAGTGTTTGGTTGATGTGTTGATGTGAACAGCTAAAGTGTCGATTTGTAGGTGGAGTGAGTTACGAGTACCACTCGCAGCAGCAGCAGTCGCAGGCAGGCTACGCCAGCTGTGGTGGTGGTGGTGGCGGTGCGGGTGTGGCAAGCCGAGGCAACACGACGACGGCCTCGAGTGGAAACCACCTACCGCCACCTCCTCCCCCTGGCGGCGGCGGTGGTGGCAGCAACTACCAATCGCCTGCCCGCACTGGGCCCTACCATGGCGCTACACCTCTTCCCTCCCCTCCGCCTGCGCATAATCAGCGAATCAGAGACAGATCTTTCATGCGAGGCCCTCCCAATCGCTTCTTCGATGACTATGAGACACAATTTGTTGTCAAGGTGCGTAAATCTATCAATGCGTTTGCCTAATTATTGACGCAATGTCAAGTTTGACAGAGCGTTGCGTGTAGTGGAAATATTAGTCTACGTAGATGCAATAAGTAGGCATGGTTGTTTTTAATTTCAGCTGTTCAGTGACTACTTCGCGAGTGGCAACTGCCCTAGTTTGAGTGAAGTTCGTCGCAGGACGGCGCACTCGCAGTTGCAGGCACGTCGCAACGCGAGTAGCATTCGGGCGAAGGTGAAACGACTGCAGGCGAGCGGCCGTTGGACCGACTATGCGATCCTGTGATGTGTGCAGTGCGGTGCGTGCGTGTGCGTGCGTGTGTGGCCGCACGCTCCAGATATGACAAGGACGAGAAAGTGTTTGCCATGTTGACCCTCCTCCTTACCCTACTCCTCCCACCCACTCACCCACCCTACCATTCTCCTCCCGCCCTCTTTGCATTTGAACCCGTTGATCACATTCGCATCCACACAAGCCTTGGTTTGCGTGCATACGTGCGTGCGTGCGAGAAGCGACATCAACACCCCACCCTGGTCGACCTTCGTCCGCGTTTTGATGTTTTTTTTCCTGCCCACATCTCATCCTCAAGTGAAACCCGCACACGGCGTGGTGGTCACCTCTGCGTCCCAATCTGCCTCCCAACTCTAAATCCACCACCACCACCTTCCGATTTCCGCCACACCCAACTCCCACCAGGCCACTCGACACACGCGTCTTTTCCTCGTCAGTTTCTTTCCATCTCACCACTTAACGCAATAAACATTGTTGTCTGATAAACGATGCCACGCTGTTTCGCGCTTTGCCTAGTCAATAGTCACGTGGGAGGGTGTTTTCCGCGTGTGTCTGGCGTGTGCTTGCTTGTCGGTGTACAATTCGTTGTGGTGCTGTTGCTGCTGTTGTTGAGACGTGAACGTCGATGAAGGCAACTCGAGTTAAAGCGCTGATTGTGTCAGTTTGTTGGCGGTCTGCAAAGTACGTGAACGGTCCACAAGATGCTGGTGGTGGTGGTTGTGGCGGCGGCGGCGGTTCTTCTAACAAAACATCCAGGTACCTGGTGATCGGTAGGGTGGAAGTCTTGTTGATTAGTTCTGTGTATGTGTGAATTCTCTTGCGTCTCTGTAGGAAGTTCCAATCTCGCCTGAACGACGGTGTGCCAAATTTAATCTTATGAAGTGTCATGTGAATCTAGCGTCAACAGTGCACATTTAATTCCAGTGTGTTGATTGTGTTGTTTGTCGAAGAGAAAATCACTAGACAAGAAGTAACACGTAGGTCGTAGGGGGGGGGGGGATGGAGGAAGGAG